ATTTCACCTTAGAAACAGAAGTCGCATTGCTCAAGATTGAGGAATAACTGGATGATCTAATATGCCAAGTGATGCTGTACTTATTAGAAACATCTTGACAGACAATGAATGAGCTGGCGTATTGTCTTGGTGAAAATTTGCCATAATGGGATTCTTTGTCAATTCCTACAGTCTCAATACACTGTATCGAATACTTTAACCGACGGTCAGATCGAATTAATTGCCGATTTTTTTCTGAAATTGTCATCCGTTTTGACGTTATGACCAGGTCGTGGAATAATCTTCAACGTCTTCTCGGTATCTTGAAAACGCTTTAATCACTCAAAACATGTGCACGCGATATACATTCATTACCATACACTTCTTTCAATAAATTATGATTCATTCAAATTATGTTTTGCAATAAATTATAAGCGGGTTTCCCAAGTTTCATTTGTACCAAGAATTCGTTGCTCAATTTATCCACTTACTCAGTTTTTTTTCCCATGAAACAAACAAAACAAAAAAACCCCCCCATTTCGAACGAAGGTTTTGGATTTGTTTTTACAAAAGGAGAGGCACTGCATTCGAAAGAGAATACCTATGTTAAACAGCTGTTGGTACGTGGCGTTTCAAGTGCTATGTACTCCTTCTGCAATAGCTTCAGTCTCGTTATTTTATTATCCACACCTCAAATAAAGTAATATTTTCTTCTAGAACCTTCTAAAACATTCAACTGAAGACGTTTTCTTTTTGACCTGATATTCTCATTCAGGATCTTTCTTCAGCATTATCTCAGTTTCTTCTACGCTCCCACTTTTCGTAAAAAAAAAAAAAAAAAAAAAAAAAAAATCTGTTTTTTTTGGATTACTCTGCTTCTTATTCCTTATTCTAGGATTTCTAACTGAGAGGTCTATAAAGTTCTTTATGTAGAGTTAGTTCTTAGAGTTCTCTGGAACATTTCTTTTAATGAAAGGATTTTCAATCAGAAAATTAACTCCAACCGTTTAACTAAGTCAGACTATTAATGGGAAATCATGGAAATCTAATCAATCAAAACTCTTCAGGCAAATCGATGTGCCGCAGTAGCCTGTGGTCATGGTCGCGGGACTCAGGCTATTGGCGTTTTTTTTTTTTTTCTCTCGAGTTATGGGTTCTGAACCTTGATGCCACAAAAAAGATCTGCTGTGTGGCCAGGGCTCATGCATGTTAAATCTGTCGGAGCTGAAAGTCTTCACGTGGAAGTTAGAGAGGGAGGTTCCAGCTCAGGTGTGACCATGATTCAAAAAAATTACGAGGGTCCGTCACTTGTTGCATCTTTAGCTTTTGCTGTTAAAAAAAAAAAAAAAAAAAAAAAAAAAAAAAAAAACCGTCTTTTAACCAATTTATGTTGAGTGCGGGATGATTGTCTCCGAGGACAGTTTGTATTCTTAAACCCTATGTGAACTCGATCCCCTTACCTCTGCCAATAGTCACCTGAAGTGCTTCTAGTCTCGAATTTCAATAAAACGAACTAATCAACAACAAAGATTTCAATTCTGAATTTTACTTTGCAAAAAATTTGCCGTAACACTGATTTGCCCAAATCGTGCTACAAACGTTTTTCTGAATGCTATGCTGTAAGAAGGGTTTTAGTTCTCTAACTGCATTAAAATCTGTGAGTGAGTGTTCATTAACTTTGCACCTAGGAACCGACACAGAGCTATTGGTAACAAAAACTTGTACCTTGATTCGGTCAAGCCAGGATGTAAAGCTGTTCGTGACTTTCAACAGTTTTAGTTCAGTTTTTTAACGTCGCACTAGAAGCAACACGAGGGCTATTGGCGATGAACTGCGTAATTTTCGAGCCTATCAAGTGACGAGGGCGACACCTGAGCTTCCCCTAACTTCCCACTCACGCCAACGGGAGAGACTTTGGGCCCCGACAGATTTAATGTGCATCAGCCCCGGCTGGCACGACGGGTCTTTTAGTGGCCAAGACTCGGAACCCGCGGCTCAACGAAAGTTCGCTGGCCAAGTGATCTGAAACCACACTTCACTTAGGCTACCGTACTCTCTTCACTTCAACCTCGAAGATCTTGGTAGTTTAAATTGCACAAGATTGCAACTTTTCCCAACCAAAATGAGAGATTAGGTATATTAGGTAAAGCTAACAGGTACAGTGGATTGAATTAGAGATAGTGATATGGTAACAGAAATAGACTGGAAATGAAAGAGAGGAAGATAAAGGACAACAAGCTGGTGGATGTTGTAGAATGGAGTGAATCAATCGTACTAAATGTTCATATTGGAAGATAGTTGAAGTGATTCTTGATTAAAATAGACGTCGAATCTGCTATAATCCAGAAGTGCTTGAATCGAGCGAGTGATTTAATACGCTAAGACTTAATTATCTTGAACATAAATGGGATTAACTGAGTTAAGGGGGGATCTGAGAGAAAGTTTCATCTTTGCATATTCTTTGATAGATAGTAAAGTATCTTGTCGCCTTTCTTATGTATCTTCGGTTGGAGTTTTAAAACTTATTGGCTGGGCTACAATTAGACTTTTGTAGATGGCCAGAGTTATAAAAAAATAATGAATTGAGGCTGTCAGCAATGTGACGAGGACGACACCTGAGCTAACACCAGCCTCTCCAAACGTCCACATCACCAATGGGAGTACCTCAGACAACAGATTTTGTGTGTAGCTCCACCACACGGCGTCTTTGTGGGATCAGAATTCGAAAACTCATGACCCAATCTGAAACAACGTTGATCATGTGATGTCGCGACCACATGACTACTTGGCCACCCGCAGCAACGTGTTGGTAGAAACGATGTAACCATTTTAATTTCGCTTCTAAATGAGACAGATGTCTACTGAAGATTCCTGCTGGGCTCGATTTTGAGATAGTCCATCTTCATCTAAAATGCCAACTTGGTGACTTGGTAAGAAGCAATTTCCACCAAACAGTTCAGGCCAATAGATAAATTTGACCTTACTCTACAATTCTTTTTAAATGTGTTGAAAAATTAGAAGAGTGGTAAACTTAAACAAAATCAACAAAACCCTAAAATTTTATATAATCCATAAACTTTCTTTATAATCCCTGTTAAAACAAAGCCATAAAAAGATTTAAATATGAAAGATAGAATTCTATTTATTTCGTTTTTGTTTTTTTAATAATGTAAAAAAGAAAACCAGGGATAAAAAATTTACTGCAAATGAATTTAGACTTCCAAAATGATAGTATAATTTATCTTTATCTGGTTACATTATTCTTTTAGTTAAACTTAAACCAGGGTACGAAGGCATTTTTTTTGGCCTGAAACAAGTCTATAATTTTTCTAACCCTCGAATTTCAATAGCAATTATTCTGTTTTATCTCAATTAGGACTTATTTTGTTACATTTGTGAAGCTTAAAATAATAAAAAATTTTAATTTTTTTAAAAAAAAAAAAGATGCAGTCGAAATTTTAATTTTGTCAAATTGAAGCATCTGTTTCTGTAGCCTAGAATAATATAAATTTTAAAAATAAGGCTACTTGATAGGGTCAAGTGAGAAAGTAAAGATTATTGGCGCAAGAGCCAGATATGGCTATGCTGCGCCAAACAAGATTTAACTGTGAAAAGAAATAGCCCAATTTCTTTCTCTGACGAGAAACTGAAGAAAAGATACAAATTGGTAACCCGGCAGGCTTGATAGAACAAACATTCATCAAATAATTCCTCTTGCATTTTAAAATAAAATGGTTTTCTTAGAAATTTTATTTAAACATTTTATTGACGTCTCAAATGTTTATATATATATATATATGTTTATAGATATATATATATATATATATATATATATATATATATATATATATATATATATATATATAAATCTTATGATTTTTCAAAATCATAATTTAACATAATATATATGTATTTATTTGAAAAAAATTTTATTGTTTTTGTAGAAATAATTGTTATTTTAATTTTAAGAATTAAATTATATATGTTTCTTTTTACCTTTTTTTATAATTTATACATTATTTTTACATATAAAGTATCTCAAATTTTAATACTTAAATCATTCAAAGCCAATTAGATAAAAAAAGTTTGTTCAAATATAAGATAATCAATTTATTTTTTCCAATTCTGTTAAATTTGTTTTCCAGTGAAACCACGAATTTTACTAAGTAGATGACAATAACTCGTGAAATCTCATGGTTCTTATAATACTAAATTTGTTTATTAAATTTAAATCTTTAGTGTGTGTGTGTGTGTGTGTGTAAAATGACACGTTAATATAGAGAAAATGAAAGAAATGTTAAATTTTTCAGGAAAAAAAGAATGAAAAGCATTATTTTTATATCCCTCCCAGCAGGTAAATTTTTTTTGAGAATTGTTCAACATACATTACGGCTGGCATCTAGTGAAAAATATGGAATTTAATGTGGTTTAGACAAAATGAAAAATGTATTTCACGAAATACTATGAAAACGTTTTAAAATTTATGAAAAAAACATATAAATCAAAAGTGAAATTTAAAAAAAGTTAAACTGAGTAAAGATTAAGATTAACTTACTAACAATATACATAAAATATTTTATAACCTCGGCATAATGTAATTATTCGGAGGAAGCTCGATACATTCGAAAACAAAAGATCTAATGAAGAAAAATGGTTTCACTGAGAAATCTTTAAAATTAAAATGGAAATTTTGTACTGTATATGTGTAGTCTTCTTTACAACTTCTTTTATAACAAATTATTACTTTAACTTTGTTTTCATATTGTTTTTGATAGTTTTATTATATTAATCTTATTATGAATTTAATAAAGGAGGAAATTGTCATTCTTTCATCCAACTTAAATTTATTTTATAAAATTTTAAATACTTCTTACATTGATTAAATATTTTATCTCAGAAGAATATTTAAAATGCTCAGTGTGCAAATCATGAAAATTAACTCAAATTTATTGAGATGCCAAAAGAAAAATATGTTGGAGGTTCACGCCAAAGAGTGCATAGGAAGGGAGGAAAAAAATATCTGGCAGCGGTGGGATTCAAACCCCACGCCTGAGGAGACTGGTGCCTTAAACCAGCGCCTTAGGACCAAAGCTCCGGCCACGCTACCACGGTTACACTGCTGGTAGAATTTAAAACAGATAAAAAAAAATAATAACTAATAAAAAATTAATTATTAATAAATCAAATTGTTTCTTTTCTAACAAATTAATAGTTGTTCTAAATTACTCTCTATCTGTATGCATGATTTTAACTTCTAGCTAATTCGTATAATTCATCCATTGAAGATCAAATATTTTTTCACACCTAACATCTCGAATTCAAAACCATTTGATTCATTAATAATTTAAATTATTAATATTAATAACATAATATTTAAATAATTATAATTATAAATAATTTAAATTATTAATATTCCACAAGAAAAATTAAGCAAACAATGATCACTACCTTTGGTAGAAAATATTTATTTACTTAAAAGAAATCTTTGAGTATACAAATAATTGAAGATGGAATGAAATTATGTGTACTGTGCAAAACATGTTAAGATACATTTTCACAAAAAATTCTTCCCCATTGAAACCCAACCAAAATTTCAATTACAATATTTTCTCCTTTGAAATCTTAAATAATATTTACTTGATAGTTATATAATTATGTGTTGTCTTTCAAACTTGCTACTTACTTTTTCATAAATATTTATTTTCGCACATCGCAGCCATCTACTGGATATATAAGCCAACTTTATTGTGATTGTGTTTGAAATAAAACCATAGAATGTCACAAATGAATATCGCATAAAACCACCTTAAACTAACCTTAATCAAAATAACCAACAACAAGATTCAACTGTTTTTACAATTAGATGCTTTCAGTGATAATTTAAATACAGAATATTGAAACTGCAAAACAGAAAACATTTCGTAAAACTAATAATAGCATAAAAATTTAATACATTATTCAGTGATAATAAAAAAAAGGTGTAATTACAGCCAAAACCATTGCTGAAAACAACACAAGTAAAATAAGCTGCAACAAAGAAGTAATTTAAACATTCAATAATTCTTTAAACATACTTAAATCTTTTTTTAAAGTAAGCTATAGGTTTTTCTTATAATACAAATAATTTTAGACAGCAATAAATCGTGAAAAGTATAGTTGATTATTTTAAATAAGTCACCTTATTGATTTAACTACTTTTTGGATTATTCAGTCAAAAAACATATTTGTCATTTTAAATATTATTCATATTGTCGACACATTACTTGAATTTAAATATTTCTTTTAAAAAGTCATGTATAAACATTATCAAATAATAATAAAATTATAGAAAACATAAAATCTCTTTGTATAAATACTTGCTAATTCCATTATAAATAGCAAGAATATATCTCAGCCCAATGTTTACATTATTTAAATGTTCATGACAGACATTACTTTAGAGGAATGATATTCAACTGTGTAATTTGAAATAAATTTTAATATTATCAAGAATTTATACGAATACTTTTAAATTAATACATAATTCTTTGGATTTATTATTTTATAAATCCAAAGTTTTAGCTTTATTCAACAATCAACTGTCTCTCCAATCTTGGCTCATCCATTACTAAAACAAATAATAAATATAAATAATCCTTGCTCACCAGATCTCAATCTGATAAATAAACAATAAAAAATAATAGGCCATTAATTGTAATGGCATTTTCAAAATAACGGCCATAGCACTATTGAGGGATTTGTTTTTCAAATAGTAAGGTTTGCTTATAGAAAGGCATGATAATCATAATATTAGACAAGAATTAGAGAATTTAATGAATAAGACAAGAGTAAAATTTCTCGAGATTACATAAATGCAATATCCGGGCTAACTATGAGTACTAGTCAATAGGGGGGAAAAAAAGAAACATTTACTTATAACAGCTATTAAAATTGAAGCGATGAAAACACTTAATTATTAAATGAATATATCCAATGTCGGTATGAAATAACTGAGTTTCATGTTATATATTACTCTTACATAAATTATAAATAGTTTTTCTTTTGACTTTCAGGTGGAATATATTCTTTATAAAAAATAATCCGATACAATTTGTAAAGGTTTGGAGTAAATTGATTTCCTGTAGTACATTTGGTATTGCTAAAGCGATATTTAAATTCAAATTCTCAACAAATTAATATAAATATAAGAAACTTTAAAAAATATGGATTAATGCAACATGTCGAATCTTGTTTTTTTTTTTTTTAAAAAAAAGAATTTTAATTAAAAATTCTTAAACAAATATTTTAAACAGTAATGAGGATTTGTCGTTTTTTGGTCACCTAACTTTCAAACCAACCGAAGCAGCAGCTCCTGAAGGATTACAATGTACAGATAAAAATCTTTTTATAGTTATTTCTTCTTTAGTAAATTATAATGCCTATTTTATCAATTTAGATCATACACAAGGAGAATGTTTCTATAAGATTTTAAAAAATCTACTTCCAAGAATAATTAATATTTTTAAATAAAAATAATGGATTTATTTTTAGTAAAATGCACTGTTTTATATCCTTGATACAGATTAAAGATTCACACCAACAAGTTAATGCAAAACTAAAAAAAAAGGGGGGATGTTAATTCAGAATAATTGTATAGTGTTTTGAAATTTTTTTTAATCTGTACCATTTCTTTGAACAAACTTTTTAACATTGGGCTTGATAGAGAAAACTTGATAATAGGATTTTTTTTTTTTTTTGAAAATTCAAACTACGCAAATAAGCATGTTTTGAAAATTAATTAACAAATGAAAAAGATAATTTTAAAAAATAACGTTGAATTTATTACACTCCTTATACATCCATATTACACATTTCCTATTATTTACCAAGTTGCTAAGTATGATCCACATGAACTCCAATTGCACGATATCACAAAGTAAGAACTCAGTTCTTTTCGAGAGCTCCGGTTGAATTCCACAGGCTATACAGAACCATTTTCCGATCCACAGCAGCACATTTTGCCGTCTGAATTGCCTGAGTCCAGCTACAAAACACCTGAAAATTAGTTTCGACATGGATCTTTACTTTGAAAGTAATGTAAATCAAAGATTTTCTCAATTCTACCATCCTGTTCGGAAGTAAGAAGTGTAGAACCATTCTAGACACGTCTAATGATGTTCAAAATTTCAGAGGCATTCCAATGGAACAAGTGTAGAATTCTTTTGGTCCTTACATCCCAAAACGAATTTTGCGATCCCAATGGCTACTAATAATGAAATTTTGAATCCCTACTGGACCGTTCACAGGAGATTATATTGGAAAGTCATGGTACAAAGTGTTTTATTTTTTGCCCCATAGCTTCAAAGTTTTGTCTAAGCTGCCAGAAATAATAGTATCATTTCTTTTGATGAATTTTGCAGACATTAGTTTTTTACCGCTGTGACCAGTTAAAGTGTGACCTTAGTTTGAAATCAGATATGTCCCAAAGGCGACTAGAAAAGCCGCTAGAATTACAACACTGAACTTGCTTTACCATCTATGTCACCGAGACAAATGGATGAATTGTGTCCCTTGCTGATGTGAGTAACTTACCTCGTCGCGGTATTTCCAGAGTTTTAACCTTCGATCAGAACCGGCTGTAATCAATATGAAGGATCCGGATACCATGGCAACAGCATTTACTTCACTTTCATACAAAACACAATTTTTGCTTATCTGGAAATGATACATCCGGATAGGCATTACTAGTATTCGATGATGACGAATGTGGTGGAGATGTCTTGCAACTTTCATTTCCTTTGCTGATTTGCTGACATTTTATTGTTGCTACCATCAACGGAACAAACACTTTCGTAATCATACTCAAAGAATGTTCTCTTCAAGCATCATTAACTGAGATTTTAATTTTTTTATTTTCCATCTCCAAACCATTTTTTTGCTTCGATTGCCATAATGTTTTCCTCAGCTCCATAAACGATTCTAGTTTTTTTTAAGTTCCATATTTTCAGTTTTCAGCAAATTCGACTTTCAAGTCTACGAAGATTTCTCTCTCTTCGTTATGTTTGATACTAGAGAGCGTAATTTTTATTTTCTATTTCCAAATCATTCCTTTGATTTTCAGTACGAATGTGTGATATTTTAAAACCGTGTAATCAACTGGACACTTTGTAAAGAATTTTTGTGTGAGCTGAGTTCTGATTTCAAAGTAGAATTGAGTTCTGTCTTTTAAATTCAATCTCCACTTTTTCCAGTTCACTACTTTGCTTATCAACAAATTCCCCTTGGCATCCAGTGTATCTTTTAAGTTAATTACTTGTTCCATGAGTTTGGAAATTTTGCGTGACTCTCAGCTAAGTTTCTCTGTACATTCTCATAATCGGCTTTTGCACTGTTTCGCCATATTTTGAGTGAAGTCTGATCCACTTGAAATGGTTTTGTCTGAGGACGAATGTTTGAAAAGTTTTTTGTGAGCATTTATATTTTTGCAAATAATCCAACTTTTCTAACAATTTATTAGCATATTTAATGGTTTCTTCAAACTATGTTCTTTAACATTCCTGGCTTTCAAAAGTTTTAAACACCCTGAAAAAAAAATAAAATGTATAGTTAAAATTAATACACCAAGACACATTGAAGATAATTAAAATCTAATAATGACTTTATTAAATTGTACTTAAGGAAGAAAAACTATTAAAAGATTAAAACAAAAGATTATCTATAGAAAATAATAATATAAAAGTAAAGCCACAGTTCGCTATGTTTTAAAACTATTGCATCTATAGTACGTAAAAATATTAGCTGTAAAGTTTTAATCACTACGAAGAAATAACCGATATGCGATAATATTTATTCTGCATGCTAATTTATCCATTGCATAATGTTGAAAATCACAGCTTTAATGTTGATCTGTTTTGTTTCAAAGCCGCAGATGTGCCCGCAGGGATGGAAAAGATTATAGGAGTTCCACCCGCTGAGTTCTACAACGACGGCTTTCTTTATAAGGTCAAGAAACGCTGAGATAAATGTCTCACTTGAATGGTGACTACATGCACAGATATCTTAAGAATAATAAATCGCAAAATGTAAAATTTCTACCTGATTATTTAAATAGTTAAAACTTTACGATAT